ATGGAGAACCGACCTTGGACCCCATCTCATAATCTGGAATTAGTAGTTAAAAGGGACTTAACCTAGTCATCCAAATTGCAAAGTTCAACTGCCATTATTACATGTCATCCAATCATTTGTGCTACGTTGGTTTGTCTATCTCACTGATTGCAAAGGCATCATCAATTTGAAGAGAACAAATATATATAGCTTTTTTTTTAATTATTATTATGTATTATACATTTTCTTTGGAGGTTATATATATATATATGTATATATATACACACACACACACAACTAGTCCTTTTCTTCCCTAAGGGGGCGTCCATAATAATAACAAATGATTTTTAATCATATCAATCAATTAGTGTGATACATCTCCTTTTTCTGCATGACTAGCCATAGTTACGTTTTGCCTTCTGCTCTTTTACAAAGGTGACAAGCATATATAAAATTTGTATGCCACAAAGTTTTTATTTTTAGTTTTATTTTTGATAATCTAATCATGAATTCACTAGCAGACATGAGAACAATATAATTAGTTAAATCATTATTCAAATAACCCAATTAGGAAATCATGCTTCTTGTTCATTTTAATTTACCTTTCTACTCATTGCGTTGTGACCTCGAATTAGGTCACTAAATTTGTTTAATATTTGAGTTTGTCACTATGTACGGCCTTGCAAACAATATAAGAATTACGGATATCTTTTTAATGCCATGCCATCGATAAAATGATAAAAAAAATAAAAAGTTAAAAAGACATAAGTTCGAATTGTGTCAATAAGCTGGATGGTAGACATGTCTTAGCTTCTAGTTATTTATGTAATTAATTATATGTCACCCCAAAAACAAAAACAAAAACAAAAAATCAAAGAAAAAGGAGCTTTTTAACCCTTTGCTAATTGTTGACAAACTTTTCATGCCACCATCTACCCATTACTTTTCACGATATCAAACAACGCTATGACTGTTTTGATTTGGATAAGATAACAGGTTGCACACCAAGAAGATTGCCGCCCTGAAAAGTTGTGAAAGGAAAATGCCTACCAGAATTGAAAAATCAGCCATAAAGAAACCATGTTGATGTTGATCACATACAGCACATTATCTATTAATAAAGTTTAATATTGAATGTGGCAATTCAATCACTTGGATAATGAAACCTTAAAGCAATGCGCGATATTTCAATGTTTATGTTCTTGACACTCGACACTCGTCAAGATGACTTTGAGGCGTTAATTTTTCAAAAATACTATAAGATCACATCAAATGAGTATCTAATTAAATACAAGAGAAACAATAAATATGAGTTTGTGCATTCAAATGATAATTTTGACAAGGCGTTGTTTTTTTTTTTTTTTTAAACACAGGGACAATCTCAGTTTTGCCATACTAATCTCCCTACGTCTGTGCATCCCGCTTCCCAAGGATACACAAGCGGTAGAGAGGTGACTCAAACACACGATCTCGGGACTTAACTAGACTATTTCGAAACCATCGGAACCAACTCCAAGAGGCACAAGGCGGTATTTAAACAACACTTCTTTTATAGATCGAACCGCCACGATTTGAGTATATATATTCCAGGTAGGTATTGTGTGAAATGAATCAATGAACAAGAGATATTTTGCAAATCAATCTTATTTTGTTAAAAAATAATAATAATAATAATAATAATTAGCAAGGGAAAGAGAATTTAAACCTATCTTTTCAAGATTGAAAAATCCATGTAATGACGAAACAAGACAGGAATGTGAATGTCCTCGAAAGCTCAAGGAAACTTTCATGCAGCCCCCCTTAATGGGGCCTGACAAAAGGTGGCTCTTTCCATACGCAATGTATAATGATCTGGACTCCCAGTGGAAGACGTTGAAGAGTAGAAAATTGGAGGAGAATACACAATCTGGACTCCCAATAGAAATATTATTGAAGAGTTGAAATTTGAGGGAGAAAAAAGCCATCTTACAACTGGTTTGACTACGAGACTTCAACCCACTTTTATCCGTTGAATTTCATGTATAAACAAATGATTCGAGGAAAGAAAATTTGAGTTTGGATAGAACAAGCACCAAACTTTGTTAGTATATTTGAAGATTTGAGGCGGCAGCATAATTAGTTGGTGGACTCGTTAGAAGAATGTTATATAATGTGACCATCATTATTCTTGAAAAATTTGCAAGCGCACTAATTACACACTTATTCCCATGTAACAAGAATCATTAGAGAGCAAAGCTTAATGCAGTTACTGTACCATTTCTTCATATATGCCATGTGCAAATTTAGAAATATCAGCTCACAAACAAAGTTTTAGTTATACTTTAGTTTTTATTTCAAAATATCATGTAATGCAGTTGAAGTCCAAAATATCAAAATCAAAATAACTCAAGAGTGGAAAAAAGGTACGTCTTCCGACGTGCCATTTACGCCATAATTATCATACGTATGCACATACTCATTTTCCTTTTCTACTTTTTTTCGCATTTAAACACTTTATGTGCTTAGTTTTATTTTTTTCCAAAAAAAAAAAAAAAAACTAATAGTTAAGACTCCTCTTAATAAGTTTTCATTAAGCACCGGTTAGTAAGAACGTAAACGATTCTAATCAAGTCGAACGTTCTAGTGTTCAAACTTATTTGATTATTTTAACGAATTTAAAGTTTTGTTTAAATATGACTTATTTATTTGACGAACCGAGTTTTATCGAAATTGAAAGCTATCGAACGTAATATGCCGTTCAAGTCTGTTGTGACTAATTGGCAAACCAACTTCTAATGATCTCTTACCAACTCGATTCGAATATTGAGTAGTTTGATTCGTCTTTTAATCCTATCGATTTCGGTGTACGGATATTTCATGACATAACTATTGTAATTATTAAATATATTTAACAAGACTAAAAGATCTCAACTTCCTTTCTTATCAGCCAAGTGCATTCCACACAATTCGCATGTAGTGGAGGCAGATGATCGCCAAATGTGCAAATAAACCGAAAGGTCAAAAAACTTAATGACCACGAAATGTGAAGGGCTAAATTGGATTTGGTCCACCGTGTTTCGCAATCTATGATGGATTTTTAGGTTGACAAAGCAATTTTCAATAATACCGTTTACGCGTGTTCGTGATCTTCTAATATTTTTCTGGGAGAAAATTTTCCTTGTTTGACGACTGATGATTACTTTGTCATTATTGCATGTTTGAAAAAGTAAATCCTTTGCTCTCCACCACTAATCCTTGTATTCCTGACTTATCACCATAACGCCACAATTATATATTTTTCTAGCCCAAAGATGACAAGTATTAAAGAGGACTTGAAGGAACAATCATCAAATCAGAAACATGCCTTGAGGAGGAAGTAATTCTTGAAGTATGCATTTTCTCCGGTGCTATCATCAACAATGTGGTGGGCATTGGGAAGAAGAAGAGGAGGTGTTGCCCAAGTGGTTGAGAAGTATACTTTTTTTTTTTTGTCACAAAAAAAAAAAAAAAAGTGGTTGAGAAGTATACAGTTGACTTTCTTATTAATTCTTTTATGGTTGACTGGAGGAGAATCAACATAATCTAATGGTCAACTTTTACTAATTCCTATATTAAGTACCACAAATGACCATTCTCCCAGCGATCAAAGGGTTTTGTTTGCACACCACAACCACCCCGAAGTCAGACTGCGGGTCCAGTCTGGAGTTCTTTAGGTTGATTTTCATGGAACAACTGCTGCCGCCAGTATAGACTGCAAATATACAAACAGCATACACACAATACATGCATCTTTGAGGGAAGAAAAAAAAAATAGGGGCAAATGCAGTTTTAGGCCCTGCTTGATCGACATTTTCAGATCTTAACATATTTAGACGCATTTGATAGTTAAAAATTGAACATTTGAATTAATTAGGTGACATTGAATTTTCTAGGCAAAACTTACTCTCGAAATTAAATGATAGTCTATTCACGTATTGTTCAGTATGATATGCATTCAAATGTATCAAATTTAGTTGCGGCAAAAGTTAGTTCTCAACGTCCAGCACGTGTGCATTTTTAGTTCCCAAAGTTTTTGACAAGAATACATATGGTCTCCCGCTACCAATTTGAAGCAGATTAAGGACAATTAATGGATTTTCCAAATATCAATATGAAATCCGTCACGTCTTTAACAAGTCAAACTTCTTAAAAAGGAAGCAAAATATTTTTGATCTTTTGCGGGGCTAAATTTTTAAAAATTTCAACTTTTAGAGGAGAAATACCCGAATTGTCAACTGCACCAATCAGTATTAATCCTTCTCCAAGTCCAGGTGGTCAAAGGTTTTGGTTTACAGTAACCCCGGAGGGAGACAGCAGTGGAGTCTTTTGGGTATATTTCCCTGCAATAATTGCCGCCAAGTATAGAATCCAAATATAAAATACATACCCGTATCACCGGAATCTGCCAAGAATAGCACACTTTCAACTCAATTTTGATGTATTGACATGTAGCCGGAGCTCCAGGTCAACTCTAGCTCTGATTTTTTGGAGCTTGAGCCACTAGGACAATGGCCATGAGCTTTAAGTCTTTAACTTTGGGGTCCACATTCTACACATATTCCTTACAGCTTCATGTAGCTTCATCATATACAAATTACATAGGTTTCAAAATATGCATTAAGTTCAGCTAATGCTGGAATTTTCTCAGTTTTCTCACTGGCACCCGGTTAACAAATTTCTTCAGGCCCATAACTTCTTCACGCCTGTTACAATTTCAACCCACAATCCAACAGGATTCAGGGAACATACAAGAATCACATTCTAACAACAAGTTTGTTTGGATAGAGGTTTATTTGCCAAAGTTTATTTGCTTACATCATCATTACAATTTCCAACACACCTTTTTATCTTTCCAATTACCTTTTTATCTCACATACATCACATCACAAAAAGTGCTACAGTAAAAATATCTCAAATAATTTATAATCCAAACAGAGCTCAAGTACAATAATACGTTGTAACAAAACCCTCCCCACAAAACACCCACACACACACACACAAACATACCGAGAGAGACGCCATACCACATTTGAGGAGAAAAAGAATGTAAATGTTACATCACCAATTAGCTGATATTTTAGCGAAAAACCCTCAATTTTACAACAGCAGAGAAGGAACTCATCAGCTGTCCATCCTTTACCGCCTATGTTCTAGTAAAGCACTCAGTTTCATGGCCAAGGCTGTAGAAAGTCTAGTATATCATCTATGCAAAGCAATATGAAAATTATCCAGAAGCATATTGACGTTCTAATGCTTCAACAAACCTCCATATCAAACTTCCCTTTTATGTTTAGTAATGGCCTAAACCTCAACTCTGATTAGGAGGATGTCAGACCAAATAGCTCACTTCAGTTCCCAGAGGCTGAATCATTTCTCATTTGTTGCTCTACCATCAGAGGCAAGAGAAGTGCCAATCTGGTTTTGTATCTCGCAATTCGTTGCAGTCTTTCTTCTCTTAATCTGCAACATCCAGTAAAAAGCCGAACAGATTTTAGTGTTCTCCAATTAAAAGGTGAACTGAATTAGGTATTCACGGAGAATGGTCAAACTATGCAGCAGGTTGAGAGTAGATAGTTGTAAAATTGTTAATAAGAAAATGTGAAGCGAAACAGTACCCGCTCCAATTTGAACCTTACACATGCTGAATTTGTCTTTGAAAGTAATCTCATTTCCAATTTATTTGCTTTCAGATTCTGTTGAAAGATTTAAAATGTAGTAATTGATGCTTTAGTTTTGACTAGCACCATCTATAAATGTTCAACACATAAGTAACGATCCTCTTTCCATCACCTAGGAAAATAATCACACTAGGCCAAAGAAAGTCGAGCCCAAATTTTTATATATAAAAGCAGAAGAGATTTACTAATAGTTTCCTCTTGAAGACAAACTAGGGAAAGCTTAGCAGTAATACTTGGAGATGTCAAGCCATAAAAATTAAAGGTGCTTGGAAGCTAAAATGTAGAAAGAAAAAAGCAAAATCAGATTGTCTACAGATAGGTGCATACAGAGAGCGCATGCTGAGAAAACACTGTGAGAACAAGGCTAGAGTACAATCAACTTGCTTATCATTTCAACGTTACCAGCTCCAATGAAATATGTAGCACGAGAGTTTTTGGTTTTTAGGGCACTATAGCGACCTATCCTATCCACAGGACTAATGCACAAGAAATTGTATCTCGCTGGAGTTAAATTCTCAAAATCACAAATTGGAAACCACCAGGATTCAAATTGAGGCCCTATTTGATAACCCAATTTAACACTTAAACTTAATGGAATCAGATCTTAACATATTCAGACCATTTGATAACCAAAAATTGAACATCTGAATTAATTAAGTAGAATTGAATTTTCTAAGCAAAACTTACTCCCAAAATTAAGTAATAAGTTATTCACTTATTACTGAATGTGATATGCACTCTAATGTATTAGATTTAATATTTAACAAATTCAATAACTTAATAGATTCAGACTTCAAATTTCAGACTTCAGTTTTCAAATTTCAGTTTTATCAAACGCACCCTTTAGCACCATTAAGTTGCAAAGGATATTCCTATCAAGTCCATATAGTCAGCCAGTAGTAAACAAAGATTTTTCATAAGGTGACTTCCAGAATGTCAATAACCCAAATGAACAAAATTAGCAATGCATATATCATTGAGGCATTTGGGAAGAATAATTATCATTTAGTGACAGATTTGATCATAAGAAATCAAGGGGGAAAAGGACACTTACCGTGATCGCACCCTCTTAGCACGCTTGATATGTGTTTGTAACAGCTCCTCAGAAGTTAAATTGTCCACAGATCCTTCTACCTGAAACTTGGAGCAAATCCGTTCAGATTGTTAACAGACAGAAAAATGTACCGATACAGGGGTTGAAACGGATGTGTGCATACACTGAACAAAATTTCCATAAATCAGCAATTATTAAAGTGCAACACTCAAAAATACACAAAGTTAAAGATGACACATATTTCTGCAATTGAATTCCCAGAGACAGAGAAAGAAAAATGTTGGTTAGATGTTCCAATAAAAATATATCACAATTCATTATGATTTGCTATGACACTAGCAGATATGGATACGCACTTCACATTGTTGCAGACATAAAGATCTTTTAGAGGTATAACAATCATTTAAGCTGCGATAAACTTCTGAGCTTCTGAGCTCTAACAAAACTGCTATGAATCTGCTCTGAAAGAGCTATTCCCTTTTACTTACCCAACCATCAATGCATAGAAGACCTCAAATGTCACTAACCTATTCATACTACCCACCGGTGTCATTAGAGCCGACACAAACAAATTCCTACAGTACCTGTACAATGTGAATATTAGCAAAAGATATGAGCTACATTATTCGTAAGGTAGCAGCAGAGAAGATCCAAGTCCACCTGGTGCTTGAAGTGATTAATCTTTCTGGCAAAAACTCCTAACTTGTATCTCCACCACCCCCACCCCCAGCCCAAAACCGAAAAATAAAACGGGCATTCAAGCTCTACCACCTTAACAAAGAAAGAAAAAAAATTCTTGAACAGCAATTCTAAACTTTTCATTCCTTCAAATATATTCCTTGACAACAAGGGAAAGAAAAGGCGTGTTTTTTTTTTTGGGGGGGGGGGGGGGAATCCAACGGATGGATAGCAAAGAGCAAAGAAGATGTTCTTATTCCTTCAAAATATCTTCTTGTAATAGCAAAGAAGATCCAAAGGTTATTATCTGGATTCCTTTGAATAGCTACAAATTATGTTCCCTAAACATTGGTTCTTCTTCATAACCAAAAAGGCAACAATTAAGCTCCTCTATGCCACCATGAAAGAAACTTATCAGCTGAAAACATCAATCCTTGTCAATTAGATGATATGTTCAACCAAATTTGAGCTATTATGACAACAAAAGGAAACACTTGAAATGTCATATATAAAGGTCATGTTTCATAGAAAGGAAAACTTGTGCTACATTTGCAGTGCATGATTAAACTAACCTCCTCTTCTTCCTTAGGATTGTCCTTTTTCACGGGTGAAACATTACCTTGGGCAGGTAATGGCAAAGGTCGGGGAAGAGACCTAGCTGCATCCATGTTTATTGGCTGCCAGCAAATTATAAATTATGCCACCATAGACCTCAAAAAAAAAAATACACTGCTCAAAAGAGGAGAGAAGAAAGAGAAGAAAATGGTTCAATATCAAGAAGTTATAGGAAAATGTTTTATGCATCGTTCAAAAAAGAGGTTTTGCAGAGGAAGTTAATGGCATATTTAAACATAATTGACGATAGCAAACACATAAAGTATCCATTTGAGCTGGAAAAAGAAAAAAAACACACACACACAATCTTGAAATTAAGTATCCTAGGATTGTCAAAAAACCAAATGGCAAGTCATAAACAGGTATTTGCACAATCAGTGATCTGTACACAAGATACATTTTTCAGAAGGCTTTTGGCCACAATATACAAACCATCACTTGAGGATAATGAAGAAGAATTGCAAGTTTTTCCAACAAATTATCATCTTTCATATAGTTGAGACTACAACTTGCATTTAAATAATTTTTTTCAAAGAAAAGAAAGATTTTAGAGTCACATGGTAGGAAAGGAGTTCTACAACTATTCCACCAAACTAAGGACCTTTTGGGTTAATGATTTTGATCTTATAATTATGCTTAAGCTGAAAGTACAAATCATATAGTAAACAGTTTGAAGAGAACATTGGTTTAGTTGACTTCTGTTATATATATTTGATTAACACCAAATTGAAAATTTTAGGGGAAAAAAGAAAGATAATCAAATACACGTCAAAGATTCAGAGTGTATATGTGTGTGTGTTCATATTCATGAGCCTGTGTGTGTAAAAGAATAAGTATGGTGGGAGTAGACTAATGGGATCAAATAAATGTCACAAATAAGGCAAATGTTTGAGATTTCTTATTTTGGGGTTTGTATCCTAAACCTTTGGTTTAAAAATTAAGTTTCTGCTCTTCTTTATATAGGACTAAATTCTTATCTCAAATGAATTAGCTTTGAGAAGTAACTAAGAAAACGGAAAATGGCCTTTAGTATTGATCTCTTCAAAACAGTAAAACAACTCAGAGCTGAATGGGACCCAACTTTCCTCAAAACAAATTTTGAATCCTTAGTTGAATAAATGTGAAACAGAAACTGCAATCCAATCAAGAATGATAAACACTAAACTCACTCCTAAAAAAAGGATTAGTGTCAGAGCTAATCATTTTAGATCATTAAATATCTTTTATGAACATCTAAATCTAAGTCCTCTGAACACCAGCCACTGATATTTATTAAGTCAAAAAAGTACTGCAACATAGCAGCGCATCAAAACATGTGCTCCAAATAATTGCAAACCTGACTTTCTTCAGGAAAACCATTCCTCAGCCACGATCGGCAGTGGGCATAAAGAGAAGCACTCTCAGATACTCGGACCTATCATAGAATAAAGAGGTAAAAATCACCAACAAATACTACAAGTGATAGTCTGAATGCAGCAAAATTGGTCCCAATACACTCTTAGTTGTGGTAGTAAGTTTTCAAAAAGAGAAATGTGATACATATTAATGAGATCAAGGCAAGTCATTAGGACAATCTGCCCTATATTGAAACTATCCTATGGATGACTGATTCTTTGATGCTTATGCTACTTCTCTTCCTTCGCCAAATAAAGACTTTCTTCATCTAATAGGAATATCCCATTAAACAAATGGAGTACCCAGTTATCTTTCATTTAAAAATTGACCAGCATAATGAAAACTATAATCCAAAATCCAAGCCATGAGACTTCAACTATCAGTGCAGGAAAGAAAGGCAAGATGTACAACCTTAGACTAGACAGCAAAATTGTCAAGGCCTTTTCCATGGAGAGAGAGATGTACATCAAATTTATCTCTGTGCCTTTTCCATGGAGAGAGAGATGTAAAATTAGGAAGTTCAGCAATTGTTAATGTTTTTTTGCCAACTTTTTCATACATCACAGGAAGTCGAAAATGCAAAACATTGTCTACAGAATATAATCTCTTTATCACATTAAAATCCTTACAATTTTCTATTGCAGCCAAAAGAATGGTTATATAATGCATACAAACTGCATCCACTATCGCGATTAAGAGCAATGAAAAGACTCAGAGCTTACTTACCTTCCTGTCTCTAATAGTTACAAAAGAATCATCCCTGCCTCTTTCCCTGCAAAAGCTAAAAATGCAGATGTATGATTTGTTCTGCAAAGAAACAAGTGCATAGGAAATAGAAACCTGGATACTAATTCATAAGCAAAAATAGTTAAAAGTGCAGCTTTACCTCATTTCTTTGTGGCCATTACTATCAGAAACTGGAGTAGATGAAAGGGAGACCTAGCACCCAAAAAAAAAAAAAAACCAAAATTGTTCAGAAGATAGCACCAAAATCAAGGAACTACATCATAGGATTCCATACACTGTTGGTCTATGCACCAAGCAATTAATTCACAAGATGGATCCAATTCCCTAGTCAAATTGATATGGGAATACTATAAACAAAAAAAGCTAAGACAAAACAACACAAAATGATAGATTAATCCTGTCTTTAAGTCAAAAATAATGCATATAAATACTCTCTGAGTGAAATATTATCATCACTGCACAACTAGAAATCTTTCACTTCACTTAGCAGAATAAATGGATGAGGAAGAAATAGTTGAAAGACACCGTGAAGCTCAGCAGACAATCATATCACACAAGAAGTTCAAAAATTGCAAATTATCTTACGAAAACAACAAACCTGATTATTTAGACAATTACCAAATGCAAGTAATGAGATCTCCATGTTTTTCCTAGCAAAAATTGAGAACCTTTATGAAATGTGAATTTCTAACCAGTAGCAGGCTTTATAGCAAGCTATCCCCAGGGAAATCTAGCAATTGGATATCATTTTTCCATTTTCAAGAACTTCAACAATACTAAATTGTTCATTTACTTTCAGAAGAGATTCATAATTGTCCACTGGAAATTAAAAAACTGGAGGCTACATTAAAACAGTGTAATGGGGTCATGTTGGAAGATAGCCAACTCCTGTGGTAGGATGTGGCCATTTTAGGACAAGCAAGAAATCAGTGACTGGGTAACAAACATGTAAACCAGGAAATAAAGAAGAAACGCCCCATGTATAACCTGGTTTGTGCTCATTTCACCAACTCTCCAGAAAAATCTCAAGCTTTCCGACGCAGAAGGATATTTAGTTTCAGATTCCATATTTCAACAAATTCAGAAAATAATAAAGCATTCACTTCAAGAACCTCACAAAGCTAAATGAGTACAGAAACAGAATAAGGGGAGGAAAGGCATAGGGTGATATTGAAGGAAGGAAAGGAAAAATAGAAGGGGAAAAGAAAAGAAAAGATGATGGAGAAGGACAAGCAGGAGAGGAGGTAGGAAGCGAATCAGAAGTCAGAACAAAATGAGAATTCCAGAAAATGAGGGCAAAGAGAGTGAGCAATGATCTACACAGAACAAAAAGGAAACCCTAATTTCCACCAATAATCTGATGCTTACTCAACCTAAGCATTTTCTATACAACTCAGTAGAAACCAAAGACCCTAATGCAGATCCAATGGATATAAAGCAGATCCAGTGGATATAAAAATGTACAAAAAGGTTGCTTTTCAGCACATGCACTTAGTGATAAGTTGCACGTGTTTTTAGCTGCAGCTTGGCTGAAAAAGTATTGTGATAAGAATCATACTCCAACTACAGAGGGCATGTAGAGATGCGATGGATAAACTTAAAAGACAAATTTTTTAACAACTTTGTCTAAGTAACCAAAAACACACCTCAAAGTTTTAAAACACAGACCCTAAAACATAACACACACCATCTTCAGGTCTGTATTATAAAACTTTGGGGTGTTTTTTGAGGTTGCTTAGACAAAGTTGCTAAAAAACTTGTCTAATAAAAACCCCTCAAAAAACAGGGCTTCCAAGCAGACCCTATGTCCTCCAATATATAAAGCAAATACCAAAAGTGCTTAACTACTTCGAGTAATGTTTAGTTCATATAAGTTCGTAACCCAAAAAAACTCCTCAGCATGAAACATTACCCTATCTTCAGATACCTGAACAAAAGATTGACAATGCTAATTTTGTGCCTTAAAAAATGATTACCACATTAAAAGATTTGATTTCTAATAGCTCCAAAATGTGAATCTTCTCCTATCCCCCTAAACAACATCTCACAGTGCTGAGTAGAAAACAGTACCTCAGAAAATGCTAACCATTTCCAACGTTCATAGTGCCTTTTCATGCTATAAAATGCTATCACTCTCCGTATCTCCCACAATTCACAAAAATAATTCAATGATGATAGGATCCAAAATAAATATACACCTTATACACTAAAACCTAAAGCCGCTTCTCTAAAAATGTTTATTGGGACAACCTGTCTATTTAATTGCAAGCAAAAAAAAAAGGTACATGGTCAAGGCCCCAAAAATCTTAGCCATTTGGGAAAGGTGTAAAGAACTATGCAAGGTGCTCTACATGAGAATGTCCAATGTTGCAGGAAACGTTATAGTGCTTATATTTAAACAGCTTGTGCATTTATTAACTGGGATCTTCTAATGAGATCACTAACAAGGTTCTCGTTATTATCACGGTTGTGAAAGTCAAAGAAACCACAGCTGGTTCACCACAAGTAATTGAGCTCCAAGGCTTAAGAGGTGTCTCAGAAAAAAACGATGTCATTATCTGATGACTCGTCTCTGTTCTTCTAATTACACTTTGTCCCAAGTGTTGATCAACGTTCAAATACAATTCTATATTAAAGTTCAGTTTCTCTTTTCTTTTTCTCATGGATTAGGGAGGAGCCCCAAATATGTGTTTTAAAGTAAACATAAAAAATGATCGAAATTAAAAGATTCAGATATCATGCACAAATGATAAGTCAATTTTCACAAGACAGATCTGCAGCCACTAGGTTATCAGAATTGTGATTTGAACTGGTTGACCACACTCCATTTTAAACATGGAATTAATAAACAGTAAGTAATTGAAAATAGTGAGTAAATTGGCCAAAAAAGGTTAGAAGATCCAAAGTTACACCAGTAGATGCTTTAGTCTATATGCGAGGCCATAAATATTTAAATGCAGCATTTAACAGATATTTGCAGCATGGATAACTATCATTGTCAAAGGAAAAAAAATTATTTTACACTTCTGCTTATGTGATGTCTCCCCTAGTTCAATTCCTGCCCATCTAAAATTGGATGTGGAAAACTGAAATTGGTAATACTCAATACCATGCTCCTTACACTTGAATCAAGCAACTTTCAATTCACCGACTTGTTCACCCATAAGAGATATAAATGCTCAAATCTCCATCCAAGCTCAAAGTTGGTCAGTTACTTTCCATTCTTAGCAGCTTTACACCCGAAGATAGAAATGTTAAATCTGCCTGATCTGTTGACTCAATAAGGTCAGTTCTTCAGACATTAGGAAACTTTGCAATTTAGAAGAAGATTTAGCTGCTGAGAGGTCCAAAAGTAGAGAAAGTAAAGGATTTCCCAGTAATAGCTGATGCATCATCATTTTCTTCCTGAAAATGTCTAATGAACAAATGGATAAAGATTATATCTCCACTGCAATTGAGCTTTTAATAACTCATAATCTTCCGAATCTTGACAAATGGAAAAAAAGTGTTTGCTCTACTCTAATTGGCAAGTGATAAAATTTCCATCTCCTATTAGTATAACCATCAGGGAGTACACTGTTTTTGCATAACTGTATATCATTCTGTTGGGACCTCAAATGCCTGACAAAAGAATTCCTTTAGAAAAGTGACAAAGCTGAATCCTATTCACAATAAAAATAGATATACGAAGGTAGACAAGACACGTCAAATACAAATACAGGTTTTTCACTATGACATTTGCATGCAAATGAATGTTTCATCTTACTTCAAACCCTTAAATTGATTATGAATTGAAGCACAGTTATACCTCCATATATGTCATGCACAAAACTGCATGAGCATTACTGGTCAATCAGTAACCAAAAATCAGAAAGGAATTAGATATAAGGATAAGCAAGAATGCTTTCAGGACCAAGCTTAGACAAAAATTTTGGATCCAAAGAGAAACAATGCATATATTTGCAATAAATGTAGTAAAATATGCATCTTATAATCAGCTACTCCAAGAATGTTCAGTGTTATAACTCATGCTTGTACTGTTCTCTTCAAATCAAGCGCATATAAAAACTTAGATAGCCAAAACAATGAAGCATAAAGCACAGAAAGTGATGCAGGTCAGCTTAAATTTTGAAACCAAAACCACCTACTCTGGACAGAATTTCAGCATTTCAACAGATTACTAAAAGGTCAGGCTGGAGTTTAATGTAATAAAGTCCTACCAGTTTCCAAAATAACCGTAATTCTCATCAACGAAAAATATAGAAAACCACACAGTTATTTAGCTAAATAAAAACACAGAAAACCACACAGTTATTTAGCTAAATGCAAATCAAGCTCACTGTAAATGAAAACTTGTAAAAGAAGTTACTCTAAGAGCCTTCCTTCCTTTCTTCTGGTTTTTTTCCCTTTTTGGTTAAAGAAATTATAAGAATCTTCAAGAAGTTTTTTTTTTTTTTTTAAGATTCCTATTAATACTCATTCTTTATAACCAACATTTATTTACACATTTGCAAGTATACATAGATACCTAACCCAACTTTAAAATATTTCCCAAGTAATGCAAGTGAAGAAAGATAAAAATGGGAAAAAACATACAAGAGAAAGAGAGAGAATTCTAATGCTGAAAAAATGAATTTCAACGAAATTTAAAGAAATCAGAAAATAGTTCCTCAAAAAATTCCAAAAACCTTGTGTTGAGGCTGTGAAGAAGCAGAAGCAGAAATTGGGACACCTTTAATCACACCCGGCATGACAGTTGCCCCACCACCAGCCGGGTGCTGCAAATGCGGGATGGACCTACCACTAACATACCCCATACCCATACCCATTCCCGTGCCCGCAACCAGACCTGGATCCGGATGAGAGTACCCAAACAACGGCCTGGGGTACGAAATCCCAACCCCGGGACGAGCTGCCCCAGCTGCGTACAAATGAGAATTAGGGTTAATAGAATTATTAACGGGAACAGAAGAATGGGGATGTTTTTGAAGAAACCCTCTGCCGGAGGAAGCTACAGGGTAGAGAGTGGTGGTGGCATTAGCTGTGGTGGTGACGTCATGGGATGGGGGAGGATAATTGGAGTTAGGGCTTGCGGGGAGTCTGGAATTTATTAGATGGGGATGCGGCTGGGGATAAAAAGGTGCTGGGTAATGGTGAGGGTGTAGTGGATGGGGATGGAAATGAGGAGGAGGCGGAGGAGGAGGAGGAGGAGTAGGTGGGTTTCGGGGATTAGGGGGAAATGGAGGTCTTGTGGTGGTGGAGGTGGTGGCAACGGCGGTGGTAGTGGACGACGACGGAGCAGGATCAGGTGGTGGTGGTGGAGGAGCGGAGAGGGCCATTTCCGGAGGGAGGAGTTTGGTGGCGCGGAATTTTGATTTTTCAGGTTCTCGGGTTTTGGGAGAGAGAAAATTTTAAATTTTTGTAGTTTATAAATCTTGGCGTGGACAAAGTGTCGGGTTTTGGGTGAAGAAACGACATCGTCTTTCCAATGAGCAGCGCAAACGACAGTATGTTGTGGGTCCGTTTGGATTTCGAAAAAAAAAAGACACAGCAACTGGAATCTGAACAAGACTCCGTCTCAATAATTTGTTTCACAAATTTCAATCACCTTCTTATCTTTTCAATCATCTTTTTATTTCACATACATCACGTTACAAAAAAATCCTACAGTAATTATCTCAAATATCATTCAAATAAACTCCTATCCAAACAGACCCAATAACTCTTGGATTAATTGTTTTTGAAAAATTTTATCGTAGCAGTATATTTGAAAATTTTTTAATATAAAATTTTTTAATATATTTAATATATTATATAAATAAATTATTTTTTAAATTATTATATATTATTATAACATTATTTTTAAAAAAATAGTCAATCCAACGGAGAGGAACACAAAAATGGGTGAGCGGGGGCTAGGGATTTTTGGTGGCCCCGGGGGGGAAGGGGGTGCTGTGTATTGGAGAATTTGGGATGAAGGTCAGTTTGTAGGGTTCCTTCTGTCTGGTTGGTGTTCTATCTTTTTGTCCACATTGCTCTTCATTTTGTTGGGCTTTTGACTATCTTATCCTTCTTTGTCTTTAATGTCTCGTATTTGCATTAGAAATTGGATATGACTTCTGCTAAGAGTTTTAACAAAACCACAAGATACAATAATGGCCCCCTTTGAAAGGTGGGTGTTTTGGATGTTTGTCTAAAATTTTACTGTAAATCACTGTAGAAGTTGTAAGAAAAATTTTTAGGACAGATTACTGTAGATTTCTTTTTCTTTCTTTTTCTTTTTCTTTCTTTCTTCTCTTTTTCTTCTCCCTTCCCCCTCCCCCGGCACCTCTGCCTCTGATGTAGAAGAACTAGCAACCATGGGAAATTTTTGTTTTTAGCTTTTTCTCTCCCCCTCTTCTCTCTCTCCCTCTCCCTCTCCCTCTCTCCCTATCCTCCCCTTCCCTGTCGCCCTCTTACGCCGGAATAGGTGAAGCCATGGATTTTTTTTTTTTTTGCTTTTTCTCTCCCCACTCTCCACCCCCTTTCCCGCCACCCTCCCCCTCCCCCTAATTGCAATCTAGTCGCCTAGTAGCCTGCAATTTTTTTTTCCCTTTATCTTCCCCTCTTATCCCTCTCCCTCTCTCCCTCTCCTCTCCCCTCCCCCTCGCACTTCGACTTGTATTAGAACTTGCAGCCACGAAATATTTTTTTTTTTTTTGCTTTTTCTCTCCCTTTCTCCTCCCCTCCCCCGCCACCCTCCCCCTCCCCTAGATGTGCGACCAAATCGCAGCTAGTAGGAGGGGGAGGGTGGCGGGGGAGGGAGAGGGGAAGAGGGGAGGGGAGAAGAGGAGGATAGGGGTGAGGGAGAAAGAGAGAAAAAAAAAAAGAGGAAGGCTAGCACTAATTCCAGTGCCACAATAGGTGTTGGCGCTGGGAGCGGTGGTGGAGGTGGTGGCTGGTGGGTTGGATGAGGGAGGAAAAAGAAAAAAAGTTGAAGGGAAATTTTTTGTGTATTAGATTTGAAATGTGTAGGTTAAAAACTTTGATAAGTTTTTTGAGGTTCCTGTAACAGAAGTTGTTAAAAAATAGTATCATAAAAACTTGCAAAAAACTTGAGGTTCCAAACAGGGCAAATATAATAAGATGCTTTCCAAGCTCTGATTCACTACTTGAAATGCCATCTTCAGCTTAGTGAAGTATCGTCATCATCATAAAAAGCACCAAACATTAAGAGCCCACAGCCTTGGCTGGGTGGTGATTGATTTGCTGGATTCCTCTTCTTGACCTCTTTAACTCTCCTTCCTCCTAGTGCAGAGTAGGAGTAATTGTAATATAAAATCTATTATGTCGACAAAAAAAAAAAAAGAACCAATTACTCCTAGAGTAGTTCGCCAGTAAGAGAGTTTTAAAACTTTATTTGGGTATAGATCCCATTTGAATATCCAGACTTTTCTGAAAATGTTTTGCCAACTATGCATTCGTCTGAACCGGTGGTAATTCATTGGATTTTCCTTAACCTCTACCAGACACATTAACTGAAATCTGAACAGGACTCCACCTCAATTACCATCAATCTTCCTCTTGAAAAATATAGTATAGCAGAAACAGCCAATTTGCACTCCAAAAAATGAGTAGCTGAAGATCATTCAGAATGCCAAGGTCCAAAAACAAAGTAGAATAGAAGAAGTAACCAACAATTCTCAAAATGACGGTAAATATTAGTATTTTTTGTAAAACTAACTCCAGCAGCATAGACTGCAAAAATGTATTGTTTCAGGTTGTAAGCCTTTTTATGCTAAATAATTCATCAATCTTGCCAGCAATAAACCCTGAACAACAATGTAAAAATAAGTAGGTTCTATGTAAATATAATCAATTTAACATGACGTAAATATAAGAAGATTCTGTACAAATATAAATAGGGATAATTTTAGAAATCTTTCCAGTAATTGCACTTAAATACCCTCTAATGCTGAAAATTACACTATCCTCTTTTTTCAGATAGATGTGACCAAATGTTGTGCATTTTCTGCTATTGAGAAAATGAAATTGAGTCAAATATAATTTTTTTTCTACTTCTTGGTGCCCTTTTGCTGGCATTGTAACAATTTGAGGAGTTAAGATGTTATACAGTGCCATTATTGTGAAAAAAAAAAAAAAAACCAAACTAGCTTTGATGAGAGAGAACTCAATAAACCAATCCATTCTCAAAATTGGCGATCCTTCATCTAATATGAAAAATCAAACTAACTGTCGTTTTCATCTGCTCACTTTTGCTTCTTAGTTACCATTATACCACTTGAAATAGTCACATTTTGGCACAATAGAACTATAATCTATCCGTATTTCTTTCACATTCTAAAATTCTAACTGTTGCATTGCATCTGCAGTAACAATTTCTATTTTTGATCCTCAATAATGTTTCTACATGAATTGAGTTCCCGTGATAACTTGATGAAGACATACTTGTTCTTCAATTGTTGTACTAGTCAATGTGTACTTCTAATACTTGATGAGGTCATAACTCATTTCACGCAAAAATGCCTTCTTTGAAAAATGGAATGCATGTTTTTTCACACATTCTCTAGTTTATATGTTGCCAGGATAGGATAGAGCCGTTGTAGTTGATAATGCAGCGGCTCTTCTTGACTTGAACAATCAAAAGTTGACTTTTTTTTTTATATGTATTTTTTGCTATCCTGAGAGGATCATTGGACCATCCTACATCGAAAGATTGTGGGGTAGTTATTCTGGGTGTAAGGTCCCCAGCCGCACCTCCTGTCACCAATTGATTGGATGTTGTTAGTTTGTGGGTCCCCCTTAGATTGACTTTAGGGTCCAATTTGACTCTGACTTTAGGGTCCAATTTGGCGATGACTCCTGAGTGTTTCTAACATAATTGTGTGTGTTACTTATTCTGTCTATGGAAAAAAGAGAGGATCATTGGAGGGACAATATTTTTCCTTTTTTTTTGTTTTATTAATTTCATTAAAAAGTGATACGTGTGCTCTCTTACGTACAATGAGGGCAAATTTGGTAGAAAATTACGTGTCAATACTTTTGTCTCAAACTTTAAGGAAGCTTTTCTTGACAAGGGCTAAAATAATTATAAATATATCATTCAGGAGGAGGGCAGCATAATTTCCAATATTAGAGGACATTTAAGCATAATTTTTAGAAACCTCAAGGGACGTTTATGAAATTATCCCATATAGATAGTTTAATAATATTTGTATCATAAATTACATCCAAGTCATTAGCTAACAACACATACGTAGTTAACACCAACAATTTTAGCAATAATATACTTGGCAATTTTTTAATCACATTCGATAATTAACTTTGCGTGCTTCTTCATTTTGACAATTAAGAGACCGACTCTTATGGCCTAGGGTAATAAACTTGTGTTTGGTCAAACTTCCCATAAAATACACCTTTTTATTGGACCTTGGTTGAGATTATTCTCCACGCTTTGTAACAGAGTCCTGAATCCTGAGATGTTGGTGTCGGTGTCAGGACTCTGGTCAGAGAGGAAACTGCTGGTACGAAGACTCCTGATTATATCAGTTTAAGGATTAGAATTGAGATTCTATCGCCCAAGTTCTGTAATTTTCGCGTTATTGGGGCAGACATACCTAAGAAATTGATATCTGGAGCTCAATCAACAATTTAATTGCATCCCTTTTGACTCTCCCCTCAGAGATTGCAGGCGCAAGTCACAAGGTCTTCATTTCATTCTACCCTTCTCTTCATTACCAGATGATATATGTTGGTGGAGTTCCCTTTCAGAGTGATGGGCCATCTTCCTCCGAGGTAACCTCAAATTCCACTTCCACAGTCTTCAAACCAAGAAGTATGAAAGCAACATAATGAAATCTTGCATGAGTGTTTGTGATCATGTAGTTGGGATACAACGACAAGTTCATAACTTTATCTGAAAGTAGCCGATTTCTCAGAACCCAGTTGGATTATATCCTATCTGGCCCCAAGGACTGCATGATTGTCTTACCTAAACCCTGTGCTGGAGACCCTTTTGATTGATTCATTTTTATCATATTCAAGAAGCAACTGTTATTAGAATACTTTATCTGTTAGTGTTTTGACGAACTCGATTAAGGATTTCTGTGGCTTATTGAAGATGGGGTGTATTCGAAACATTAGGCCCTGCTTTTTTCCTTAGGTTTTAGTATCTTTTATAAACCTGGATATAAGTGAGGAAAGAACCTTTCTGACGTGAGCTGTAAAAATTCAGGAATTTCTCGTTTTATGTACATTTTTAGTTTTCATGCAGGATATTAAGTGCAGTGTTTATTTACACTCTGATGATGCAGAAACTAGTTTCTTGAATGAAACAAGGTGGTAGGAATCCCAAATAGCTGAATCTGATGAGCTAATGAGTTTGAGTGAATAAAATAAAATATGTAACACAAACGCACAGAGTATAAGGTTGATAACTGTGAGAGAACTTATAGAGAGGATCAGGGTATCTTGAGGTAATATATGTCAGAAGGACTCTATCTGCAATGGAGTTTGAATTTCTCCAAGTTAAAAAATTTGGACTAAATTAATATGTTCGTACTCTCACATACAATCGTTCAACTGTTGCCTAAGGGCCAAAAGATTATGTAACACATTTGCATCAGTCTTCTGAATGGAACAGTTTGTTGACATAAGTATGACATCTCACTTTCTTTTGATTATTAATCAATGACTTCATTGCTCTTCATATTCAATTTCTTCTAGGTTGTTGAATGGGTACAGATTGGGCTGGCAATGGCTGTTGTAGCTTATGTAGAACAAGTGCACTAGTCGCTTTCTAGTTGGTGGGTGGGCTTGATTACAGTTTCCTATCTTAGAAGAACAGGCATTGTCATGTCAAGTTAATTTATTCCCCGTATTGCAACACAAAAATCCTGTAATTAAGTTGTATATATGGTGGAAGTGACAGCATGTTCATTCTGGTCCTGTATTCGTATCCTCGAGTTGGTTATTATTTGGTTGCTTCATGTATATAAAATATTTCCTACCAATAAAGTTGTCTTAGACATTTGTCTGACATAATGTTCTGGAAGCAACTATGAGCATCGACAAATCTTGCTGATAGCGCTGTTGTTTGTTAACTTCATGAACACGTCATGGGATATACTTCAGGGGAAAAAATTCTAGTTGTGGTGTTTGGTTACTCTTTCTATGTGCATTTTGAGCAACTAAATAGACAGATTTCTTCAAAAGTATTGCAGTTCACACTTGCTGATTGCCAACCTGTTACAGATCATACATGCATTTATGTAGCTAAAACTTGTTTTTTCTTTGAGAACATAAGATTACTATCATACCGGTAAAGTATTAAAAAGATACTATTAACTATAGAGCTTATCTTTAAGAGTTAAATCCAAATTGCAGCTTTGGCTCTAAGAATTGAGCTACTGCTGGTACCAGATTTTGGCTTCAAGATTACTATCATACCGGTGAAGTATTAAAAAGATACTATTAAGTATAAAGCTTATCTCAAGAGTTAAGTCCACGTTGCAGCTTTGGGTTTAAGAATTGAGCTTCTGCTGGTACCTGATTTTGTGTGCTTCAGCAATTGTTTTGTTTGAACCATCCATCATTTCCCTCCCCAATTTAGACATTCGTTGTAGGGTGTTAATAATGTTAGTGAAAAGCTATATCCATTTATAGCCTGCTGGGTTAAGTAATCCTGTTTCAATGCATCTATTCTTCTGGAAAACTAATTCTCTGGCTAGAAAAGTTAATATTTCTCTATCTTCCAAGCCACAACTTGCAACTTAATCGTCTTCTTCTGTTCATCTCATTATGTGGCCAAAATGCTTTCTCAGTGGAAGTTGAATAAGTAGAAATTTGTGCTCTTCTTCATTATTAATGAAAGGCCCTTCTTCTTGCTTTCTGTGGAGATTAGCTATCTTAATTTGATTCCAATTGTTATCAGCAGGGAAGCAAAATCCTACTTGCTTTGATGGAGCATCCTACTTTGGTATCTGCCTCGTGTTCATTTAAGTCTACGCCTGAGAGAAAATTTTCAGCCTCTGAAGACTCTGGTTTGGAGAGAGGGACAGGATGTAAATGGGTCTATGTTTTCCAAAGAGAGTATGCAACAGTTGATCCTGCTCTTGTGGATGTATGTTCATATCATGTTTGTGCAGTAAGCTGAAATTTATCTGGAATAAACCTTAATTCCTAAACATAAAAATGAAAACAACAGGAAGATTTGAGAAACCTAGTTGTCTAGAATATGTTTTTAATATTTTTCTGAGCAATGCAGCGTATTGTGGGTCTCACATTTAAAACTATGATAGCCTCTAGCTTTGAATGCAATTTTTGACGTATGCAAGAAGGTAAGTTATGCCACAACAATTTTAGAGGAGGAAAAGACAAAATGTTGGAGTAGCCTCCAAAGAGGAATAAACCGTGATGTCATACTGTTCATACATTATGTATGTATTATACTTCTCTGTAAGTCCAGAGATTTCAGATTTATTTCTTCTTGATAATTTCCTATAACTATTGAATCTAATTTTAAGTATCTCAAAAAAAAAAAGCCATGTAATTTCTCTGCTTTATCTGGATGCTAATATACTTGTCTAATTAGGCTGCAGCTTCAGCTTACTCCTTTCTTGGGCATGTATACCTAAAGACATTAGACTTGAGTTGTTCTTCTTCTATTAGAAACAGTTTGCTTTTCAGGCTCAAGTAGTATTCTGGCATTTTGTTTTAAAAGTTTAGTTTCTGTACTCAGGAAGGCACTACATGTTCCTTGTTAGCCCAATTGTCTTTCTTGCTATCTGCTTTCACTATATCATTCCTGTCATTGATTTTAAAAACAAAATGAAGGAATCCAGTTATGAACCCATTTTCTCCTTGACAGCAAAATTTTTGCATTAAAAAAAAATTGTGTTTGTTGTGATGTGCTTCCAATAGTTAATTTGGTTGCCTCTTGACTTTTAATTGAGATCCCAGGGTGGTGATGATATTGAGTTCCAGATCCCATTTTTTGTTTTTTTGACTATTTTTTCCTCTCTCTCATTTAAACTGAACGGGGAATTCCATAGGTATGAATTAGAGCTTTTCATGCTAAAACTTCACAGTTTACATGCTAAAAGAATTTACCATTACTTATGATTAGTATACCATATACAACGGCCATGAAATGCTAGCCGTATAAATTTGATAAGTTGTTTTACAAACAATTAATCAACAAAGTACAAAATGATATACAATTAATGTGAAACACCGCCAAATTTCCTTGCATCAAGAAGACCAAACCTGTCAAAATCCTACATAATTCTAGGGTCTAATTTCCTTTTGCATATTATTCTAAACTAACAAAAGTCTACTTGTTGAACAACAGTTGTGTATACATATATGTCATGTTTGAATGAGCTTCGACAAAAAAAAAAAAAAAAAAAAGGTATTCAACAGCAGATGCAAGCTGACTTTAGTAAAAGTTCTAGAAAACTTATTCAAAGTTTTAGCAAATATATCTCATTAAATGACTTTGAGGGGTGGCAACACAGTGAGATTTACAAATATTATTATAATGCATGGCTGAAAAGTAATCATTTGGTTTTGATCATAATGGGGGGCTCTTCTTGACCATTATTTGCCACCCTTTTTCAAGAAAATTTTTTGGACTTTCAGCTCAGGACGTGAAGATTTGATTTGAATCCTCTCATATTTCTCCATCTCATCCTTGATTGATGGACGGAAGAAAAGAGTTACAGTAGGGTTTTAGGATTCACAAATTAAGTTGAATAATATCAGATTCTTGCTTCGGAAATATGCTCGGAATTCAAATGCTTTTCGATATGATATTTATTAGTACCTTCAATCATTGACCATTACTACATTTACCATGTCATCATCATCATCATCATTATTTTCATTTTAGTATTTCTGTAATCTCTCTAATTACATGAGAAGCACGTAATTGAATTCCTGGTCCTATTTTTCTATATTCATTATAGTTTTTTCTTTTCTCTTGTGGGGTTTCATAATTGGGATCGTACGTTGTTTGGATAGAATATTATTTGAAATATTATTTGGAATAATTACTGTAGCACTTTTTGTGATATGATGTATGTGAGATAAAAATGTGATTGGAAATATAAAAAGGTGGGTTGGAAAATGTGTTTATGATACAAGCGAAATATTATTTGGGATAATAACACTATCCAAACAAACAGTATCCCTAGCTAGTTCATGTCTATACTGGAGCTTATTGCATGCAAATTAACTAACCAAAATATATAAGGAAAGAAATGGGAACAAGATATGATATTTTAGCTTCAAGTATCCTTCAGATTTCTTTATATAACTGATGACATCTGGAAAAAGGATATGCCCAAATTTGTTTTTGGGTTTAACATCAATTTTGTACTGATATCCAAATTACATATATTATTATTGTTTCCTCTCACCATTATGCATGGTCAACGTCATAAGGCAACAAAATGATCGCTTTCTATTTCTCTTAATCATCAACCTTCATCATCCTTAAGTGTCATTCATAATATTATCTTTTTTATGAGATTGGCCGCTTCAATCATGAACTCATTTGCAGACATGTAATCAAAACCCTACGTAGGAATGTTACAAACAAATATGCAAGAGGTAGGTGCATGATTTGCTCGGTGGTTGGTTGAGGCAATGCTCCAAATTGCAACATGTCTATCTCTTTGACATCATCATTAATTCCTCAATAAAGCACATCCTTTATATATATATATATACCCATGGAAATGAATGAATGGCTTTGTTCCAAAAGAAAAAAAAAATAAAGCAATTAATTTTAATATTTTTTACATTTGATAAATTTTTTTTGGGGACATACTCGTTACATAATACTAATCTTCTAGTAGTACAATTAAAAGAATATTTTTTGGGACATACTTTTTATTGGGGCAATTCCAATTTCCAATGCACATTTTCTTTTCCAAGAAATATAAATTTATTGATTGGACCTTCGAAATATATGAAAAGAAAATTAAGGAAAATAGAAAACAAGAAATGCATGTCATGTAGATGTAGTAAAGTGTCTTCCTTCCATCATCATGTGTTGCCTTGCCTACCATGAATTACACTCAAATACAAACAGTTATAATTTGTATGATTAAACTCCAGAAACTGCATGATTTCATGTACCACATGCATTGGCTGTGTGGGTGTGGGAAGTCATCAAGAAAAACCGAAACTCATGGGAAGAAAAACCGAAACTCATGGGAAGAGGGTCATGATTATTTTTTATTAGTGCTAGTTATGGAGAACCGACCTTGGACCCCATCTCATAATCTGGAATTAGTAGTTAAAAGGGACTTAACCTAGTCATCCAAATTGCAAAGTTCAACTGCCATTATTACATGTCATCCAATCATTTGTGCTTCGTTGGTTTGTCTATCTCACTGATTGCAAAGGCATCATCAATTTGAAGAGAAAGGCAGTAGATACAAATATAGCTTTTTTATTATTATGGAATATTATACATTTTCTTTGGGGTTATATATATATGTATACACACACACAACTAGTCCTTTTCTTCCCTAAGGGGGCGTCCATAATAATAACAATGATTTTTAATCATATCAATCAATTAGTGTGATACATCTCCTTTTTCTGCATGACTAGCCATAGTTACGTTTTGCCTTCTGCTCTTTTACAAAGGTGACAACCATATATAAAATTTGTATGCCACAAAGTTTTTTTTTTTTTTTTATATATATAATCTAATCATGAATTCACTAGCAGATCGACATGAGAACAATATAATTAGTTAAATCATTATTCAAATAACCCAATTAGGAAATCATGCTTCTCGTTCAATTTAATTTACCTTTCTACTCATTGCGTTGTGACCTCGAATTAGGTCACTAAATTTGTTTAATATTTGAGTTTGTCACTATATACACGGCCTTGTAAACAATAAAAGAATTTGTCACCGATAAAATGATAAAAAATAAAAGTTAAAAATTGTGTCAATAAGCTAGATGGTAGACATGTCTTAGCTTCTAGTTATTTATGTAATTATGTCACCCCAAAAACAAAACCAAACAAAAAACAAAAAAAATCAAAGAAAAAGGAGCTCTTTTACCCTTTGCTAATTGTTGACAAACTTTTCATGCCACCATCTACCCATTACTTTAACGCTATGACAGCCCCGACTGTTTTGATTTGGATAAGATAACAGGTTGAACATCAAGATTGCCGCCCTGAAAAGTTGTGAAAGGAAAATGCCTACCAGAATTGAAAATCAGCCATAAAGAAACCATGTTGATGTTGATCACATACAGCAGATTATCTATTAATAAAGTTTAATATTGAATGTGGTAATATTTTTTTAAAACGTCGTTCAATCACTTGGATGATGAAACCTTAAAGCAATGCGCGATATTTCAAAAATGTTTATGTTCTTGACACTCGACATTCGTTAAGATGACTTTGAGGTGTTAATTTTTCAAAAATACTATAAGATCACATCGAATGAGTATCTAATTAAATACAAGAGAGACAATAAATGTGAATTTGTGCATTCAAATGATAATTTTGACAAGGCGTTATTTTTTTTTTAAACACAGGGAGAATCCCAGTTTTGCCAGACTAATCTCCCTACGTCTGTGCATCCCGCCTCCCAAGGATACACAAGTGGTAGAGAGGTGATTCAAACACACGATCTCGGGACCTAACTAGACTACTTCGAAACCATCCGAGCCAACTCCAAGAGGTACAAGACGGTATTTAAACAGCACTTCTTTTGTATATCGAACCACCACGATTTGAGTATATATATTCCAGGTAGGTACTGTGTGAAATGAATCAATGAACAAGAGATATTTTGCAAATCAATAATCTTATTTTGTAAAAAAATAATAATAATAATAATTAGCAAGGGAAAGAGAATTTAAACCTATCTTTTCAAGATTGAATAATCCATGTAATGACGAAACAAGACAGGAATGTGAATATCCTCGAAAGTTCAAGGAAACTTTCATGCAGCCTCCCTTAATGGGGCCTGACAAAAGGTGGCACTTTCTATACGCAATGTATAATGATCTGGACTCCCAGTGGAGACGTTGAAGAGTAGAAAATTGGAGGAGAATACACAATCTGGACTCCCAATAGAAATAGTGAAGAGTTGAAATTTGCAGGAGAAAAAAGCCATCTTACAACTGGTTTGACTACGAGACTTCAACCCATTTTTATCCGTTGAATTTCATGTATAAACAAATGATTCGAGGAAAGAAAATTTGAGTTCGGATAGAACAAGCACCAAACTTTGTTAGTATATTTGAAGATTTGAGGCGGCAGCATAATTAGTTGGTGGACTCGTTAGAAGAATGTTATATAATGTGGCCATCATTATTCTTGAAAAATTTGCAAGCGCACTAATTACACACTTATTCCCATGTAACAAGAATCATTAGAAAGCAAGCTTAATGCAGTCACAGTACCATTTCTTCATATATGTCATGTGCAAATTTAGAAATATCAACTCGCAAACAAAGTTTTAGTTATACTTTAGTTTTTATACTTTAGAAATGTCATGTATTGCAGTTGAAGTCCAAAATATCAAAATCAAAATAAAATAACTCAAGAGTGGAAAAAAGGTACGTCTTCCGATGTGCCATTTACGCCATAATTATCATACGTATGCACATACTCATTTTCCTTTTCTACTTTCTTCGCATTTAAACACTTTATGTGCTTAGTTTTATTTTTTTCAGAAAAAAAAAAACTAATAGTTAAGACTCCTCTTAATAAGTTTTCATTAAGCACCGGTTAGTAAGAACGTAAACGATTCTAATCAAGCCGAACGTTCTAGTGTTCAAACTTATTTGATTATTTTAACGAATTTAAAGTTTTGTTTAAATATGACTTAATTATTTGACGAACCGAATTTGAACAAGAGTTTTATCGAAATTGAAAGCTGTCGAACATAATATGCCGTTCAAGTCTGTCGTGACTAATTGGCAAACCAACTTCTAATGATCTCTTACCAACTCAATACTCGATTCGCATATTGAGTAGTTTGATTCGTCTTTTAATCCTATCGATTTCGGTGTATAGAATATATTTCATGACATAATTATTGTAATTATTAAATATATATATAACAAGACTAAAAGATCTCAACTTCCTTTCTTATCAGCCAAGTGCATTCCACACAATTCGCATGTAGTGGAGGCAGATGATCGCCAAATGTGCAAATAAACCGAAAGGTCAAAAAACTTAATGACCACGAAATGTGAAGGGCTAAATTGGATTTGGTCCACCGTGTTCGCAATCTATGATGGATTTTTAGGTTGACAAAGCAATTTTCAATAATACCGTTTACGCGTGTTTGTGATCTTCTAATATATTTTTCTGGGAGAAAATTTTCCTTGTTTGACGACTGATGATTACTTTGTCATTATTGCATGTTTGAAAAAGTAAATCCTTTGCTCACCACCACTAATCCTTGTATTCTTGACTTATCACCATAATGCCACAATTATGTATTTTTCTAGCCCAAAGAAGACAAGTATAAAAGAGGACTTGAAGGAACAATCATCAAATCAGAAACATGCCTTGAGGAGGAAGTAATTCTTGAAGTATGCATTTTCTCCGGTGCTATCATCAACAATGTGGTGGGCACTGGGAAGAAGAAGAGGTGTTGCCCAAGTGGTTGAGAAGTATACAGTTGACTTTCTTATTAATTCTTTTATGGTTGACTGGAGGAGAATCAACATAATCTAATGGTCAACTTTTACTAATTCCTATATTAAGTACCACAAATGACCATTCTCCTGGCGATCAAAGGTTTTGTTTACATATCACAACCACCCCGAAGTGAGACTGCGGGTCCAGTCTGGAGTTCTTTCGGTTGATTTCCATGGAATAAATACTGCCGCCAGTATAGACTGCAAACATGCATCTTTGAGGAAAAAAAAAAAGGGGAAAGTTCAGTTTTAGGCCTGCTTGATTGATGATTCAATTCGACACTTTCAGATCTTAACATATTCAGATACGTTTGATAATTAAAAATTGAACATTTGAATTAATTAAGTGATATTGAATTTTCTAGATAAAACTTACTCCCAAAATTAAATGATAATCTATTCACGTATCACTCAATGTGATATGCACTCGAATGTATCAAATTTAGTTGTGGCAAAAGTTAGTTCTCAATGTTCAGCACATATGCAATTTTAGTTCCCAAAGTTTTGACAAGAATAAATATGGGTCTCCCGCTACCAATTTGAAGCAGATTAAGGAGAATTGACGGATTTCCCAAATATCAATATGAAATCCGTCACGGGTCTTTAACAAGTCAAAAACTTCTTAAAAAGGAAGCAAAATATTTTTGAATCTTTTGCGGCTTTAAATTTTTAAAATTTCAACTTTTAGAGGAGAAATACCCGAATTGTCAACTGCACCAATCAGTATTAAGTTTAGTACCTGAAACTGATCCTTCTCCAAGTGGTCAAAGGTTTTGGTTTACAGTAACCCCGGAGGGAGACTGCAGTGGAGTCTTTTGGGTATATTTCCCTGCAATAATTGCCGCCAAGTATAGAATCCAAATATAAAATACATACCCGTATCACCGGAATCAAGTAAGAACCAAATCTGCCAAGAATAGCCCACTTTCAACTCAATTTTGATGTATTGACAGGTAGCTGGAGCTCCAGGTCAACTCTAGCTCTGATTTTTTGGAGCTTGAGCCACTAGGACAATGGCCATGAGCTTTAAGTCTTTAACTTTGGGGTCCATATTCTACACATATTCCTTACAGCTTCATGTAGCTTCATCATCTACAAATTACATAGGTTTCAAAATTTGTATTAAGTTCAACTAATGCTGGAATTTTCTCAGTTTTCTCACTGCTACCCGGTTAACAAATTTCTTCAAGCCCATAACTTCTTCACGCCTGTTACAATTTCAACCCACAACCCAACAGGATTCAGGTAATATACAAGAATCATATTGTAACAACGTATTCATCAGTACAATAATACGTTGTAACAAAACCCTCCCCCAAAACACCCACACACACACACACACACATACCGAGAGACACCATACCACATTTGACTATTTGAGGAGAAAAAGAATGTAAATGTTACAATGTTACATCACCAATTAGCTGATATTTTAGCGAAAAACCCTCAATTTTACAACAGCAGAGAAGTAACTCATCAGCTGTCCATCCTTTACCGCCTATGTTCTAGTAAAGCACTCAGTTTCATGGCCAAGGCTGTAGAAAGTCTAGTATATCATCTCTGCAAAGCAATATGAAAATTATCAAGAAGCATATTGACGTTCTAATGCTTCAACAAACCTCCATATCAAAATTCCCTTTTAATGTTTAGTAATGGCCTAAACCTCAACTCTGATTAGGAGGATGTCAGACCAAATAGCTCACTTCAGTTCCCAGAGGCTGAATCATTTCTCATTTGTTGCTCTACCATCAGAGGCAAGAGAAGTGCCAATCTGGTTTTGTATCTCGCAATTCGTTGCAGTCTTTCTTCTCTTAATCTGCAACATCCAGTAAAGAGCCGAACAGATTTTAGTGTTCTCCAATTAAAAGGTGAACTGAATTAGGTATTCACGGAGAGTGGTCAAACTATGCAGCAGGTTGAGAGTAGATAGTTGTAAAATTGTTAATAACAAAATGTGAAGCGAAACAGTACCCACTCCAATTTGAACCTTACACATGCCGAATTTTTCTTTGAAAGTAATCTCATTTCCAATTTATTTGCTTTCAGATTCTGTTGAAAGATTTAAAATGTAGTAATTCATGCTTTAGTTTTGACTACCATCATCTATAAATGTTCAACACATAAGTAACGATCCTCTTTCCATCACCTAGGAAAATAATCACACTAGGCCAAAGAAAGTCGAGCCCAAATTTTTATATATAAAAGCTGAAGAGATTTACCAATAGTTTCCTCTTGAAGACAAACTAGGGAAAGCTTAGCAGTAATACATGGAGATGTCAAGCCATAAAAATTAAAGGTGCTTGGAAGCTAAAATGTAGAAAGAAAAAAGCAGACTCAGACTGTCTACAGATAGGTGCATACAGAGAGCACATGCTGAGAAAACACTGTGAGAACAAGGCTAGAGTACAATCAACTTGCTCATCATTTAAACGTTATCAGCTCTAATGAAATATGTAGCACGAGAGTTTTTGGTTTTTAGGGCACTATAGCAACCTATCTTATCCACAAGAATAATGCACAAGAAATTGTATCTTGCTGGAGTCAAATTCTCAAAATCACAAATTGGAAACCACCAGGATTCAAATTGAGGCCCTATTTGACAACCCAATTTAGCACTTAAACTTAATAGAATCAGATCTTAACATATTCAGGCCGTTTGATAACCAAAAATTGAACATCTGAATTAATTAAGTAGCATTGAATTTTCTAAGCAAAACTTGCTCCCAAAATTAAGTGATAAGCTATTCACTTATTACTGAATGTGATATGCACTCTAATATATTAGATTTAATATTTAACAATTCAATAACTTAATGGATTCATACTTCAAATTTCAGTTTTATCAAACGCACCCTTTAGCACCATAAAATTGCAAAAGCATATTCCTATCACGTCAATATATAGTCAGCCAGTAGTAAACAAAGATTTTTCATAAGGTGACTTCCAGATTGTCAATAACCCAAATGAACAAAATTAACAATGCATATATCATTGAGGCATTTGGGAAGAATAATTATCATATAGTGACAGATTTGATCATAAGAAATCAAGGGGGAAAGGACACTTACCGTGATCGCACCCTCTTAGCACGCTTGATATGTGTTTGTAACAGCTCCTCAGAAGTTAAATTGTCCACAGATCCTTCTACCTGAAACTTGGAGCAAATCCGTTCAGATTGTTAATAGACAGAAAAATGTACCGGGGGTTGAAACGGATGTGTGCATACACTGAACAAAATTTCCATAAATCAGCAATTATTAAAGTGCAACACTCAAAAATACACAAAGTTAAAGATGACACATATTTCTGCAATTGACAGAGAAAGAAAAATGTTGGTTAGATGTTGCAATAAAAATATATCACAATTCATTATGATTTGCTATGACACTAGCAGATATGGATACGCACTTCACATTGTTGCAGACATAAAAAGATCTTTTAGAGGTTTAACAATCATTTAAGCTGCGATAAACTTCTGAGCTTCTGAGCTCTAACAAAACTGCTACGAATCTGCTCCAAAGGAGCTATTCCCTTTTACTTACCCAACCATCAATGCATAGAAGACCTCAAATGTCACTAACCTATTAGTACTACCCACCAGTGTCATTAGAGCCGACACAAACAAATTCCTACAGTACCTGTACAATGTGAATATTAGCAAAAGATATGAGCTACATCATTCGTAAGGTAGCAGCAGACATGATCCAAGTCCACCTGGTACTTGAAGTGATTAATCTTTCTGGCAAAAAATCCGAACTTGTATCTCCGCCACCCCCACCCCCAGCCCAAAACCGAAAAATAAAAAGGGCATTCAAGCTCTACCCCCTTAACAAAGAAAGAAAAAAATTCTTGAACAGCAATTCTAAACTTTTCATTCCTTCAAATATATTCCTTGACAACAAGGGAAAGAAAAGGCTTTTTTTTTTTTTTGGGGAGGAGGTGGGGTGGGGTGGGGGGAAATCCAATGGATGGATAGCAAAGAAGATATTCTTATTCCTTCAAAATATCTTCTTGTAATAGCAAAGAAGATCCAAAGGTTATTATATGGATTCCTTTGAATAGCTACAAATAATGTTCCCTAAACATTGGTTCTTCTTCATAACCAAAAAGGCAACAATTAAGCTCCTCTATGCCACCATGAAAGAAACTTATCAGCTGAAAACATCAATCCTTGTCAATTAGATGATATGTTCAACCAAATTTGAGCAATAATGACAACAAAAGGAAACACTTGAAATGTCATATATAAAGGTCATGTTTCATAGAAAGGTAAACTTGTGCTACATTTGCAGTGCATGATTAAACTAACCTCCTCTTCTTCCTTAGGATCGTCCTTTTTCACGGGTGAAACATTACCTTGGACAGGTAATGGCAAAGGTCGGGGAAGAGACCTAGCTGCATCCATGTTTATTGGCTGCCAGCAAATTATAAATTATGCCACCATAGACCTCAAAAAAAAAATACACTGCTAAAAAGAGGAGAGAAGAAAGAGAAGAAAATGGTTCACTATCAACAAGTTATAGGAAAATGTTTTATGCATTGTTCAAAAAAGAGGTTTTGCAGAGGAAGTTAATGGCATATTTAAACATAATTGACGATAGTAAACACATAAAGTATCCATTTGAGCTGGAAAAAGGAAAAAAAAAACACACACACACACACACTCTTGAAATTAAGTATCCTAGGATTGTCAAAAAACCAAATGGCAAGTCATAAACAGGTATTTGCACAATCAGTGATCTGTACACAAGATACATTTTTCAGACGGCTTTTGGCCACAATATACAAACCATCACTTGAGGATAATGAAGAACAATTGCAAGTTTTTCCAACAAATTATTATCTTTCATATAGTTGAGACTACAACTTGCATTTAAATAATTTTTTTTAAAGAAAAGAAAGATTTTAGAGTCACATAGTAGGAAAGGAGTTTTACAACTATTCCACCAAACTAAGGACCTTTTGGGTTAATGATTTTGATCTTATAATTATGCTTATGCTGAAAGTACAAATCATATAGTAAACAGTTTGAAGAGAACATTGGTTTAGTTGACTTCTGTTATATATATTTGATTAACACCAAATTGAAAATTTCAGGGGAAAAAAGAAAGATAATCAAATACACGTCAAAGATTCAGAGTGTATATGTGTGTGTGTTCATATTCATGAGCCTGTGTGTGTAAAAGAATAAGTAAGGTGGGAGTAGACTAATGGGATCAAATAAATGTCACAAATAAGGCAAATGTTTGAGATTTCTTATTTTGGGGTTTGTATCCTAAACCTTTGGTTTAAAAATTAAGTTTCAGCTCTTCTTTATATAGGACTAAATTCTTATGTCAAATGAATTAGCTTTTGAGAAGTAACTAAGAAAATGGAAAATGGCCTTTAGTATTGATCTCTTCAAAACAGTAAAACAACTCAGAGCTGAAAGGGACCCAACTTTCCTCAAAACAAAATTTGAATCCTTAGTTGAATAAATGTGAAACAGAAACTGCAATCCAATCAAGAATGATAAACACTAAACTCACTCCTAAAAAAGGGATTAGTCTCAGAGCTAATCATTTTAGATCCTTAAATATCTTTTATGAACATCTAAATCTAAGTCCTCTGAACACCAGCCACTGATATTTATTAAGTCAAAAAAGTACTGCAACATAGCAGCACATCAAAACATGTGCTCCAAATAATTGCAAACCTGACTTTCTTCAGGAAAACCATTCCTCAGCCACGATCGGCAGTGGGCATAAAGAGAAGCACTCTGAGATACTCGGACCTATCATAGAATAAAGAGGTAAAAATCACCAACAAATACTACAAGTGATAGTCTGAATGCAGCAAAATTGGTCCCAATACACACTTAGTTAGTTGTGCTAGTAAGTTTTCAAAAAGAGAAATGTGATACATATTAATGAGATCAAGGCAAGTCATTAGGACAATCTACCCTATATTGAAACTATCCTATGGGTGACTGATTCTTTGATGCTTATCCTACTTCTCTTCCTTCGCCAAATAAAGACTTTCTTCATCTAATAGGCATATCCCATTAAACAAATGGAGTACCCAGTTATCTTTCATTTAAAAATTGACCAGCATAATGAAAACTATAATCCAAAATCCAAGCCATGAGACTTCAACTATCAGTGCAGGAAAGAAAGGCAAGATGTACAACCTTAGACTAGACAGCAAAATTGTCAAGGTATATCAAATTTATCTCTGTGCCTTTTCCATGGAGAGAGAGATGTAAAATTAGGAAGTTCAGCAATTGTTAATGTTTTTTTGCCAACTTTGTCATACATCACTGGAAGTCGAAAATGCAAAACATTGTCTACAGAATATAATCTCTTTATCACATTAAAATCCTTACAATTTTCTATTGCAGCCAAAAGAATGGTTATAAAATGCATACGAACTGCATCCACTATCGCGATTAAGAGCAATGAAAAGACTCAGAGCTTACTTACCTTCCTATCTCTAATAGTTACCAAAGAATCATCCCTGCCTCTTTCCCTGCAAAAGCTAAAAATGCAGATGTATGATTTGTTCTGCAAAGAAACAAGTGCATAGCAAAGAGAAACCTGGATACTAATTCATAAGCAAAAATAGTTCAAAGTGCAGCTTTACCTCATTTCTTTGTGGCCATTACTATCAGAAACTGGAGTAGATGAAAGGGAGACCTAGCACCCAAAAAAAAGAAAAAACCAAAATTGTTCAGAAGATAGCACCAAAATCAAGGAGCTACATCATAGGATTCCGTACACTGTCGGTCTATGCACCAAGCAATTAATTCACAAGATGGATCCAATTCCCTAGTCAAATTGATATGGGAATACTATAAACAAAAAAAGCTAAGACAAAACAACACAAAATGATAGATTAATCCTGTCTTTAAGTAAAAAGTAATGCATATAAATGCTCTCTGAGTGAAATATTATCATCACTGCACAACTAGAAATCTTTCACTTCACTTAGCAGAATAAATGGATGAGGAAGAAATAGTTGAAAGACACTGTGAAGCTCAGCAGACAATCATATCACACAACAAGTTCAAAAATTGCAAATTATCTTACGAAATCAACAAACCTGATTATTTAGACAATTACCAAATGCAAGTAATGAGATCTCCATGTTTTTCCTAGCAAATATTGAGAACCTTATGAAATGTAAATTTCTAACCAGTAGTAGGCTTTATAGCAAGCTATCCCCAGGGAAATCTAGCAATTGGATATCATTTTTCCATTTTCAAGAACTTAAACAATACTAAATTGTTCATTCACTTTCAGAAGAGATTCTTAATTGTCCACTGGAAATTCAAAACTGGAGGCTACATTAAAACAGTGTAATGGGGTCATGTTGGAAGATAGCCAACTCCTGTGGTAGGATGTGGCCTTTTTAGGACAAGCAAGAAATCAGTGACTGGGTAACAAACATGTAAACCAGGAAATAAAGAAGAAACGCTGGTTTGTGCTCATTTCACCAACTCTCCAGAAAAATCTCAAGCTTTCAGACGCAGAAGGATATTTAGTTTCAGATTCCAAATTTCAACAAATTCAGAAAATAATAAAGCATTCACTTCAAGAACCTCACAAAGCTAAATGAGTACAGAAACAGAATAAGGGGAGGAAAGGCATAAGGTGATATTGAAGGAAGGAAAGGAAAAATAGAAGGGGAAAAGAAAAGAAAAGATGATGGAGAAGGAAAAGCAGGAGAGGAGGTAGGAAGCGAATCAGAAGTCAGAACAAAATGAAAATTACAGAGAATGAGCGGAAAGAGAGTGAGCAATGATCTACACAGAACAACATGGAAACCCTAATTTCCACGAACGATCTGATGCTTACTCAACCTAAGCATTTTCTATACAACTCAGTAGAAACCAAAGACCCTAATGCAGATCCAACGGATATAAAGCAGATCCAGTGGATATAAAATGTACAAAAAAGGTTGTTTTTCAGCACATGCACTTAGTGATAAATTGCACGTGTTTTTATCCGCTGCAGCTTGGTACTGAAAAAGTATTGTGATAAGAATCATCCTCCAACTACAGAGGGCATGTAGAGATGCGATGGATAAACTTAAAAGACAAATTTTTTAACAACTTTGTCTAAGTAACCAAAAGCACACCCCAAAGTTTTAAAATACAGACCCTAAAACATAACACACACCATCTTCAGGTCTGTATTTTAAAACTTTGGGGTGTTTTTTGAGGTTGCTTAGACAAAGTTGCTAAAAAACTTGTCTAATAAAAACCCGTCAAGAAACAGGGGTTCCAAGCAGACCCTATGTCCTCCAATATATAAAGCAAATATCAAAAGTGCTTAACTACTTCGAGTAATGATTAGTTCATATAAGTTCGTAACCCAAAAAAACTCCTCAGCATGAAACATTGCCCTATCTTCAGATACCTGAACAAAAGATTGACAATGCTAATTTTGTGCCTTAAAAAATGATTACCACATTAAAAGATTTGATTTCTAATAGCTCCAAAATGTGAATCTTCTCCTATCCCCCTAAACAACATCTCACAGTGCTGAGTAGAAAACAGTACCTCAGAAAATGCTAACCATTTCCAACGTTCATAGTGCCTTTTCATGCTATAAAATGCTATCACTCTCCGTATCTCCCACAATTCACAAAAATAATTCAATGATGATAAGGATCCAGCATAAATATACACCTTATACACTAAAACCTAAAGCCACATCTCTAAAAATGTTTATTGGGACAACCTGTCTATTTAATTGCAAGCTAAAAAAAGGTACAGGGTCAAGGTCCTCAAGAATCTTAGCCATTTGGGAAAGGTGTAAAGAACTATGCAAGGTGCTCTACATGAGAATGTCCAATGTTGCAGGAAACGTTATATTGCTTGTATTTAAACAGCTTGTGCATTTATTAACTGGGATCTTCTAATGAGATCACAAACAAGGTTCTTGTTATTATCACGGTTGTGAAAGTCAAAGAAACCACGGCTGGTTCACCACAAGTAATCGAGCTCCGAGGCTTAAGAGGTGTCTCAGAAAAAAACGATGTCATTATCTGATGACTCGTCTCTGTTCTTCTAATTACACTTTGTCCCAAGTGTTGATCAAAGTTCAAATACAATTCTATATTAAAGTTCAGTTTCTCTTTTCTTTTTCTCATGGGTTAGGGAGAAGCCCCAAATATGTGTTTTAAAGTAAACATAAAAAATGATCGAAATTAAAAGATTCAGATGTCATGCACAAATGATAAGTCAATTTTCACAAGACAGATCTGCAGCCACTAGGTTATCAGAATTGTGATTTGAACTGGTTGACCACTCTCCATTTTAAACATGGAATTAATAAACAGTAAGTAATTGAAAATAGTGAGTAAATTGGCCAAAAATGGTTAGAAGATCCAAAGTTACACCAGTAGATGCTATAGTCTATATGTGAGGCCATAAATATTTAAATGCAGCATTTAACAGATATTTGCAGCATGGATAACTATCATTGTCAAAGGAAAAAAAAATTATTTTACACTTGATGTCTCCCCTTGTTCAATTCCTGCCCATCTAAAATTGGATGTGGAAACTGAAATTGGTAATACTCAATACCATGCTCCTTACACTTGAATCAAGCAACTTTCAATTCACCGATTTGTTCACCCATAAGAGATATAAATGCTCAAATCTCCATCCAAGCTCAAAGTTGGTCAGTTACTTTCAATTCTTAGCAGCTTTACACCCGATGATAGAAATGTTATATGCGCCTGGTCTGTTGACTCAATAATGTCACTTCTTCAGACATTAGGAAACTTTGTAATTTAGAAGAAGATTTAGCTGCTGAGAGGTCCAAAAGTAGAGAAAGTAAAGGATTTCCCAGTAATAGCTGATGCATCATCATTTTCTTCCTGAAAATGTCTAATGAAAAAATGGATAAAGATTATATCTCCACTGCAATTGAGCTTTTAATAACTCATAATCTTCCGAATCTTGACAAATGGAAAAAAAGTGTTTGCTCTACTCTAATTGGCAAGTGATAAAATTTCCATCTCCTATTAGTATAACCATCAGGGAGTAAACTGTATTTGCATAATTGGATATCATTCTGTTGGGACCTCAAATGCCTGACAAAAGAATTCCTTTAGAAAAGTGACAAAGCTGAATCCTATTCGCAATAAAAATAGATATACGAAGGTAGACAAGACACGTCAAATACAAATACAGGTTTTTCACTATGACATTTGCATGCAAATGAATGTTTCATCTTACTTCAAACCCTTAAATCGATTATGAATTGAAGCACAGTTATACCTCCATATATGTCATGCACAAAACTGCATGAGCATTACTGGTCAATCAGTAACCAAAAATCAGAAAGGAATTAGATATAAGGATAAGCAAGAACGCTTTCAGGACCAAGAAAGCTTAGACAAAAATTTTGGATCCAAAGAGAAACAATGCATATATTTGCAATGAATGTAGTAAAATATGCATCTTATAATCAGCTACTCCAAGAATGTTCAATGTTACAACTCACGCTTGTACTGGTCTCTTCAAATCAAGCGCATATAAAAACTTAGATAGCCAAAACAATGAAGCATAAAGCACAGAAAGTGATGCAGGACAGCTTAAATTTTGAAACCAAAACCACCTACTCTGGACAGAATTTAGCATTTTAACAGATCACTAAAAGGTCAGGCTGGAGTTTAATATAATAAAGTCCTACCAGTTTCCAAAATAACCGTAATTCTCATCAACGAAAAATATAGAAAACCACACAGTTATTTAGCTAAATAAAAACACAGAAAAGCACACAGTTATTTAGCTAAATGCAAATCAAGCTCAATTAGATTGGATCATATTTGACGGATTTTTGGATTAGCGGATTTATCTACTCCTAATTCAAACTAGTGGTGTAATTGAGTGCTCAAATTCGATTTGAATTAAAAAATTTGGTCAAGAGTTCAAACTCTTGAAATTTGAGCTCGAATTCAAATTCAATTATAAATTGCATTGCTCGAATTCGAGCTCATGCTCATCAAGCCAAATCAAACTTGTTTCGAGCTCAATTGAGTTTAGTTTAACCTAATCGAGTTTAAGAAATATTAATTTATATTTTATATAATTTCAAAAAGAGACAAAATATAAATTTCATACTAATAAATGAATAAAATTAAGAAAAACAGATATATGTAACGCTCGATTGAACTCGATGGCCTTTCAAGTTTCACATATTAAATTTGAACTAAACTTGTCAAGTAGTTTGAATTACTTGAATTCAAGTTTGAACTTGGTCAATGCGAGTTCGAGTTTGAATTTGGATTAAGCGAGCTTGCCAACTACTAGATTAAACTCGACTCATTTGCACCCCAAGTTCATACCCTCACTTTCTTAGAAGAGATTTGGATTAGGTGGTAAGATGAATAGAATTGTAAATAAGAATTTTTGAATTTAAGACATCTCACATATTTTTTTTAAAAAAAAAATACTCGGTTTCTCCTCCTTAGCCAATAGGAACCCAAAAGAAGGGGCCATTTCTCTTGAACACGGCCCAAAATTTTCTCCATCCTCGTGGGTCTAGGTTAGGGCCGAAAAGATTTGGTTGTAATTGAAGGAGCGAGTCACTAATACCATTAACAAGGCCTTTTATACTCCCAACAGAAATCAGCTAAACATTACCATGTGCTCCATGCTCAAATCCTGAGGATTTTCCTTTTTTTTTTTTTTTTTTTTTAACAAACAGACCATACGATTTATCTCAAGTTTACGTAAAAGATAGTTCTACATGGGCAGCACTTTTTTTTTTTTGGTTGAAAGTAACTTACCTTCCGAAATTGTATCAAAATTCTTATTCTAAAGTTGGCTGTCCAAAAAAAATATAAAAGAGTAACTTTTTTTAGAAATGCACTCATTAATATCCCCATGATAGTCCATTATTTTTGTAAACTTTTTTTCCACCCATCTCATATACAACATGCATTGACTTTTCTCCTGTTGAAGGGGTACTAAGATTGAAATATATTTTTCAAAATATTCTACTTACATGTCCATTTTATATACTCAAAGCTCTAATGTCAATTTACAATTTTTCACTCCGCTATTATAGACAGTTTCATCCATGAAATTTTTTAATCAGCCCGTTATATTAAAGAGTTTTTTTTTTTTACTTTTCCCCGAATCAAATTTGTGAAAATGAACTTGACGGTAATATATTATACATTATACACCATCTTATTACCAAAGATATGTTTGTATTCCTTTTGAATAATAAACTTAAGTAAAAAGAAGTTTATCCAAATTTAGCTCTTACCTATAATCATTGCCAAAAGCATTATTTAGAAAATTATTATGTTTGGATAGTAGATTATTTAGGATACTTTTGTGAAATAAAATACTGTAACACTTTATTAATATAATGTATGTAAGAAAAAAAGACGGTTCAAAAATGCGTTTATGATGCAAGTAAATAAAATTTGGCAAATAAAACACTATCCAAAGAAAGTTTCCTTGTATTCCTGCTGTTTTTGCTATTCCAACAAATTAGGTATATATTTTGAAGAACTTAATTGAATTAACCAAAAACTTACTAATCCACTTGGTCTTTTTTTTTTTTTTTGATGGAAAAGCCTCTCCTATTTCCACATCCAATTGCAAGACTTTACCTAACGAACCCGGCGACAAAACAACTATAGCAATCAAACCCATTTTAGTCAATTCACACCACCAACCATATCAATCCAGGCGCTTTACGAACAATTTGAAGAATGGACAAAGCAGTGAATTCTTCAAATCTCCAAGGCCAAAACCGTCCTTTAAAATCACCAACACACGGTAGAAAAATATAATAGTACTTTAAAAAAAAAAGAAAAAGGAAAAAAGAAAAACTTGCGTGCCCCCAAATTAGGCCCGCTCTCCGCTCGTATATAAACACGCACTCACACACTGCGAGGCCGAGACGTAACTCCCATTCTTAAAACTCCCTCTGTTCTTCGGTTTTTTCTCCTCTTTTATTTCGAAAACATTTAAATTAAAACCCAAAAAAGAAATAAAAATAAAAAAGACGACCAAAATTAACAAAATTTAAAAGGTAAAGAGAGCTAAAGATTCTTTCTAAATCTAAAGAAAACGAAGAACATCAACAACTCGAACCAAACCAAAACCCTAACTTTCAGAAAAACAAATGGAGACTCAGACTCCACTTTTCTTCCTTCATATCCTCCTCTAGACAAGGACTTGTTTGTTTGCGTCTTTTGAATCCATATAAATACAGATATAAATATATGTGTATATATGTATTATGCGTATGCTATCTGGGTGAAGGAAAATATTATGTCAAACGCGGCCGATGTGGATACGAAGGAGTTAATATGGAGTACATGGGAAGAACTATTACTAGCGTCCGCGGTGAAGCGGCATGGCTTGAAGGACTGGGATACGGTGGCGAGGGAGCTCCAGAACCGCCATCGCCACCGTAGCAGCAGCTCTTTGCCGCCAACCTTGTTCACCGCCCAAATTTGTAAAAACAAATTCAAACACCTTAGACGTCGCTTCACCAACAACCACCGTAGTGCTAGTAATAATACTGCCGTAACAGCCGGAGCTGGTGGTGTCGGCGGCGGCGGAGGAGAAAGTGAGAATAATGAGCTGCCTCGTGAGGCTCAATCTGATGATGATGATGAAAACGACGGTCTTGGTGGTGGTGGCGGCGGCGGAGGTGGTGGTGAGGGTGATTGTTTTCCTTGGCTCGAGGAGTTAAGAAAACTCCGCGTAGCTGAACTTAAACAAGAGGTTCATCGATACGATCTTTCGATCCGGTAAATCTCGAGGATATGATATCATTTATACGTTAATCTGCTTTTACTTAAATTTTTAAGAAATTTTGAATATTTTTGTTTTCAAAAATATTTTACGTGAAAAATTGAGCTTGTGGATCGGATCTGTGAATTGAACAGGTCGTTGCAGATGAAAGTGAAGACGATGGAGGAGGAGAGGGAGAAGAGTCTGAGGGAGGACGACGACCAACACGACGACGTGAAGAAACCAGATCTGGACGAGGAAGTAAAGCAGGAGAGATCAGAAAACGACAAAAACGATGGTAAAGACCCGCCGGAGATGGTCGCCGGAAAGTTTCTATCCGGCGACAACGACGAAAACATGTCGTACAACGAGTCTAATTCGACGGAGAGCAAGCGAGCCGGATTGAAAGTCGAACCGAAGAACGAACCGGCCGAGGCGGAACCGGAATCCGAGTCGAAACCGGTCGGGGAAGAGGTCTCGTGCAATGACAGTTCAGCGAGCCAGGAGAGGGGGAAGGGTGGGGGAGACTCGCGCGAGTTGCGTGACTCGGTGGGAGAAGACGAGTCGAAGGAAGGGACGAAGGAGAGCAGCGACGTGCAGAGTTCAGCGAGTTTGTTGACAAGGAAGAGGAGAAGACGAGGAGTTGACGGTGGCGGAGGCGGCGGTGGAGATGGGGTGGCGGTTTTGTCGCCCGCTACCGCCCCAATAAAACGGGAGGGTGGCGTGGGGGGAGCGGTGAAATCAGAGCCGTCAGCGTTTGGGTTTTTAGATAAAATTCGGTCGCATAAACATGGCTCGGTGTTCGAGCGCCGGCTCGAAAGTCAGGTAATGAT